CGGTTATTTGATGGTAGGGCACACAGTGCGATTTTTATTCTCCTAAAGTCAACCATTTTTCCTTATGGGAGTCTAATGCTGCATTCAAGATCATGTGCGAATAAAACAAGGTATTAGACACCTCTTTGTGTGTCTTATAGGGCCTTATGGAGTCCACATTAGGTACTGCGACTAGTTTAATTCACGTAATTTGCACTTCAGTTCTTTTTTTCTTTAAAGTTAAAAATTTTTTGGGCAACGGATAGCAGTGCACCAGTCAGCTACAATTTCAAGTAGTCAACTGCTCAGCGATTACCCTCAATATGCAGGGTTAATTGTGCGTCCACTATAATTCATTACTGTAACTAACGTCTAGGCATGTATCAAGTGTCCTTATGGTGTTCCGATCTGACCAGAAATGCTATCAAGTAGTAACGGTAATAATATTCAGCTAAACGTTCACGAACAATTTGAAATTATACTATTACAGAGAGGAATATGGCTAGCAAAAAGAGTAAAAATGAAAGAAAAAACCGGGCCTGTTCGCGCGCAACTGACCATGACCGGTCAGCTTTATATTCCTATCGAAGTCAGTAGCGGGGAAACTAACTGCTGGCGATATTGGCATACACCACGTTTTTCATACCTAAACGTTTATTTATAAGAAATTAAATGCTTTTTTCCAAAATATGATAAAAAAGTAAGATAAGATTTTCCGCTACAAAAACCACTAATTTTTCAAAATGGGTAAGTTATTGATTTCAGGACGATTTTCGAAAATCAAGTATTCATTAGATCTCGACGTCTTAAAATCATAGCTAAAGCTCAAAAGATACGCCGAATGCTGTAAATCTCACCAAAATCGTTCAAGAATATTGTTGACGAAAAGTTTCGAAAAGTTTTTTTTTTTTTGAAATGACATTCGAATTCCTAGTGAAATCGAGATTTGGTACTCAACTATCTGTTTGTGCTTTACAAACATTAACAAATAATTACTGTGGATCGTACCTTAACCGATTGATTTATTTACAAGATATTTCTGCCGAAATATTAAAGAATGTAACAACTTTATTTGCATATGCACACTTTTTTAAGCAGTTTTGATAGCGCAAAAAAGTTTTCTCACTAAATAACACTAATAAGCAAGTATAAAAGTCTATATCAAGAAATATTGATCAAAAACAGCTCGATCGATATTTCTCTATTTAGGGTGGTCTAATTTGAGTATGATTTATTAGTACACTACTGTGATCAATTACAAAATCAGATACGTGTGATATTGTCACTAAACAAAACATCAAATTAATCTGTGTCAAATTTTTGTTGTTTGTGTAATTTTATTTTAATTAATAAAAACTACCAAAAATGTATTGCCTATTAAGTATAGGTCCGTTGTGCGGCGAGTTCGTTTTTTATGGCATAGCTGCGGTCGCAGTTATTGCTGGAATTTTAACAATTGCACCCAAAAGGAAACTTTTCGGTGTGACGACGAAAACGAAAAAACCAGAAGATAACGAAGGATCGGAATGTAATCCGAATGATCTTGATTGTGATGTTGATTCTGGTGCAGGAAAATCTTCTAGAGAAGGCACTACAAATGTGACTGGAAATGTTAAAACTGAAGACCATCAACAAAACGCTAGAGGAGGTCCACAATCTGATGAAAATGACGATTTATCGAAACCATTGTTAGATGAAGAGCGTGATCGATTAAGCAACATTGAAGAAGTGTGTAATCACGTAATTTCCGAAATGAACGAACAACAACCACATGGAAATGAATGCACTAGAGAAATCAACAATTCCTATTTGGATATGCTTGGTTGTAGGTGCCCCAAACGGTGTTAAAAGACTCCAATTATCGGAATATATTGAGCAATGTACATACATTATGGCAAACGGCACCCCTACCTATGTCATAACTAACAACAAAAATAAAAATTGAAACAATCGCTCCATTTTATTTAATACTCAACTAGTATGCTGATCTAGGATTTTAGTGTGGGGGAGAAATTTATTTTTCATCTAATTGGAAAAGATTCCTTAGAAATAAGAGACGTTTCCATAAAAAATATCACAATTTATTACAACTCAAAAATACAACTATTAAGAGGAAATAATATAAAAAAGTTGGTCTCATATTCTTTGGCAATAATAAAAATAATTAATACTTCAGAAATAAACTAAATCTGAATAGCTATGTATAGAAGAAATGAAATAAACATTTATGCAAAGGAATAGACTGTAGGATCCACGATCTGAACTACAAAAGAAATTATTGGGCATCTACATTGATTACACAAGATGTTTTTAAAATTTCTTTTGTTACATAATGCAGAATGTGGAGTGTTTTCGACACAGTGGATAGATTCACCGCCCTCCTTTTTAGGGATAATTCTTGCTCATTCCTTGCCGCCGGGATTCTTCACCAAGTTTTAGGAATTCTTTGATTTAAATTGTTGTGGTAGATGTTGATAATCGTATCGTTGCTCTATTTGCTCATCCATTAAGGGCAAGGTCAGACTTTTTATGAGAGATGTATTCACCCTCAAACTTCTAACGGCAAAGTTCAACAAAAAATGTCACTATTCACAATTGCAGCAGTGTAAAACCATGTTTTCAACTAAAAAGTTTTGGGTGTTTCATTCCCACCACCTACTAATGCTGGTGGACGGACAGTCCCTATGGACTATGGTAGAAGGTCCTCTTAAATCTACTTATAGGAATCGTGGGAATAGGTCAGTGATGGTTGGAACCAGCAAGATGAAACAGACGAAATGAGGACAGGCGAGAGTAAAAGATTATTTGTGAAATATTATTGCCCCAGGATTTGTCTAAGTGATCCAAAGAATCCACAAAAACCTTAAATCGGGACAGACGGACCCGGAATCGAACCGATGTCCTTCCGTATACTAAGCAATGGTATAAACTTCTAGGCCATGTTGCTCGGTTCGAACAGTAAAGATCCTGACTACATTTATGTACAGGGGGAAGTGTTGCAAGTGGATCTCATGGAGTATGTACCGTTGGAGGAATTCGACAATAAAATTGAAGTGAAATATAGTTTATGAGTTTTTCATAAAGATCATGATCCTTTGATCATCATTCGATTAGGCAAACATCAAATATACTGTGAAGGATCTCGGTTCATGGTGACGCCAGATATATTAAATAATCACAAGAATAACAAATACCGGGCGACATCATGTAGACAGGTAAAGCCGAATGGCAGCATGCAGGGAACCTACTTGAGGAATATGATTCGTGTTATTCTGCATTCTTTTATGTATTTCCTACGCGAATACCTTGTACAAATCTTCCTTGTTTAAATAAATTCAATTAAATTACAATTAGACAAACTTATGGTTACCTGATGGTAGGTCACCCAATGCGATTTTTATTCGATTAAAATCTAACCCTAGGTCAAACCTCTCAGTATATTTTAAAGCTCCTGTTCTCAAAAATACAGGATGTACTGATACCACTTGTACCTGCTTTTTCTATAAAGTGTTATCCTTGATTTGATGGGAGGGTAACGCTTCTCCTTCATCTTCGATGTCTCATTTGGAATCAATTGTGCATCACTCAAATCGCTATTATTTTCTTGAGTTTCAACCTCCGGGAGTCTCTCATTATCCTTACATCAGATAAATTGTTTAGAATATTTTCCATTGGGATATATCAGAACATTTTTAAAAAGCGGCGCATGTTAAGTAGATAATAGCAGCTGGTATTATTTAGTTTAACCCAAAACATGTGTACCAGCCCTACGACAAACATAAACTGAAACAATTATCCACTAAAACACTTCTCCATATAAGAAAGGATATGCAGCGGAAAGAGAATCCTGACAGGGTAGTGAGTTATCGCGTCTAATTCCTTAAATACATTAGATGGAAAATGGTTTGGGTCAAATTGGACTCACCAATACCGTTCAGGGTTGTACATATATAGTTTTTTGGGTTGGTTATAGTTGATTGAGCTTATGAAATAAGGCGATGGCGTTGTAACATAACGTTTTTATACACGATTCTGTCATTGATAATATATTTTTAACAAATAATTAACATTGATCGAACAGTTCCACAACTTCTTTTGTTATCTGTAATACTGTCTTGTTACTGTACTTGTATGTTTATTAAGTACAAATAGGTAGGTACAGAGATACAAATTGGATTTTTTGAGACTCACTGCTCTCAAATATACCTAGTTCCTCTATTGGCGGCAGGTAGATAAACAACGATTAACTGCTTATAAAAGATACTCAGTAGGTACAGTTATAATAATTTCGATTTCATAGAATGCTCTCTTTCGTGAAGATAGGTACGTAGTTTGGAACCTAGGAAAGTACGCCACCTGTAAGCATTCGGTTACCTTCTGTTGCGCAAATACTACCATGATGTAATTGTTAACAATTTACATAATTATGATGTGTAATGGCCACCTATTTAAACTTCACATTTAAAGACAGATATAAATGTTACATATGAATCTATTCCTAAATTTCGTTGTATGGTAAATAACTGTGGATGTATGATCCTAAAGGTCATCCTCCTTTTAAACATATTCATTTCTGTTTACGGATTCGAATGTATCTATCACTAATTTATTCAGCAGTACTTAAGATAAAAAATATTAACTATTGACAAACAAAAAGTGTTTGAAATACATTTTATGTAATATTGTATGCATCATCTGGGTACTTCTATCTCTTGATTCCCTGGCAGATCATAAAACATTGATGTATGGAGCCCATATATGTCTGTTTCAAACAGAGTCGGTTGTTCTTAGATTTACTAGAATTGCAGGTCTCATTGTAGTAAACTTATTATTATAACCCGTGACTAACTTCGCAAACAGTCGTATGACTCCATCCGTATTAACTGCACTTGTTACAAGTGCAAACTTTTTCTAAGAAATCCGTTCAACCTGACAATCAATTTATCACGTAATTGGCAAAATCCTTTTATTATTAGCTTTGAGTCATTAATGGAATACGTAAATAAGCAAAAACAACGTACTGTGTAACTGAACATGTATAGACGTATGCATGTATGTAGTAAGTTACTATGTAATCCTCACCAGGCAGCACTCTCAATTCAATTCCTCTAACAAAGCATGGAAACAAATCCTTTGCAGTTGAAGTTGTTTAAAAGTTTTCCTTTTCGATAAGCACACCAAGCACTAAACTAAACATATACACTCTAGTATACCGATCGCATCGGGTCAACAAAAAAGAAAAAGCTTTTTATTCAAAAAAAATACGCAATGTCACGAACAGACGTCAGACAATCTCCCAAACCGAAATCTCCACACAAACTGAAGCATTTGGGAAGTAATGAAATAGCATTCCACTCACTGCTGAAGCTGTCGTATACGTTCGGAATCGCAAAGTTAGCCGACGTTTACCGAAGTTATCGTGTGGTATGCAGCGTAAGCGGAGCGTCGGGTTTTCTCAACTGCTTCTGAATTGTGTAGCTACATGGTACCTATCTACTATTTAGAACTTGCAAGTTGGAAATGCAACGATTAGCAGTAAATATACTTTCAAGAAAATCCATTCATGCGATTTGTGTAAGTTTTCCCATAGTATGCTCCTTTATGGCGTTTCCAAATCCCAAATCACGATGAGAAAGTATTTTGGATTATCCAGGATTAGCGGCCGATCATATGTTCTGAGTAAGATTGACAGAATCAGAAGCTGAAGATATGATTATTATGTGTATGGTAGACGGTATGACCTAGAGGTTTAGACACTTGTTTAGCATTAGGGTGGATACTGGCTCGATTCCGAGTTTGAGCACTAATCCAAACTTTTCTGCGGCTGCCTTGAATCACTTAGCAAGATGTTGGTTCGTGGGTAATGTTTCACCGATAATCTTTTCTCTCTTCTGTTTTCAATTCGCCCGTCTCATCTTTCTCATCCCAACCAACGCCCATCCATTCCAACGATTTCTAAAAAGATGCTGAAGAGGGAATTCTGCCCTACCCTTCGGCGTAATCCGGAGAGACTGCCGGATTCACCAGTATTAGTAGCTAGTGGAAATGAAGCACCACAAGGTTTTTTTTTGGGATGGAATCCAGAGTTCATCATAAATGGATAAAGGAACTAATAAGGTTCTGAGACGCATGGGCAAGGAAAGAGAGGTTGTTGCTGAAGAAGTCCTTCTGCCCTACCCTTCGGCGTGACTGCCTGCCCATCAGCTTTAGTAGCTGGTGGGAATAAAACACCCAAAAGTTTTTTTGACGGAATCCACAGTTTATCAAAGATGAATAAAGGAACAAATGCAGAGGTTCTGAGACACTTGGGCAAGAAAGAGAAGTTGTTAGCACAGTCGTAAGCTGGAATATCTGGGACATATTATGAGAGGGAAGAAAGGAATTCTACAGTTGATAATCCAGAGTAAACGCATTATAGACAGAAGAAGAATCTCATAGTTGCGAAACCTGAAAACTTTTTAAAGCAGCCGCGTCTAAAGTGATGATTGTCAACCTTCAAGAAAATGAGTTCACTACGACATAAAAGATGTATGGAGTTCTATACCTCGGAAATCATTTTTAACGTGTATGCCAATCACAGGCCCAAGCTCTCAGTCACCCGATTACCCTATAACTACAACTTGAGTTGGTAAAACGGGCGCTGTGAAAGTTAATAAGGAAAATGAGAGACAGGATGATGGGGCACGTTCTAAGACATCAAGGATTGGTTAGAGATATTTTGGAGGAAGGAACAAGTAGTTAGGGAAGTGGGATTTTCTAGTTTTAGGGAAATGGTGCAAAAGGATTGGGTCAGGATAGCAAACAGCGGATGTACGTTTCCAACTAGTCTGATGGTCTTATGATGATTATGACGATAAAAAGACAATAGCGTAAAGTCAAATTCTTAACAATCCTATGTTAGAATTTACTTTAAAAGATAGAAAATAGGCTAGGACATAAACAATACATTTGTAGAAATTTTATGTATATATGTCCAGATTCTTTATTTTTATACATAATAACTTAACCAAGCCAGAAAAGAATATTAATTATTATTGGAGGCAGTACAATAGTTCTGAGTATTGGACATTTTACACGACTTAAAGTCTTCTGTTCGTCCATTTCAAAACCTTTAAAGTTTCTCTTTTGCACGTTTTGATTTGACACGGTAATTCTTTCGTCTTTATTTAAAATAAATTACATTTCATTCTGCATTTGTCCCTGATGTCCATTTTGCCCTCTCTCGCCTCCTTGCGGGTAATTTGCCTTTGTTCGTTTCAAAAAGAAATCCAGCTCGGCAGTTGGTCACCTGAATTAAGATTTCAAAAGGAGCAGCTGGAAAGGTGTCACTTTGGTTTATGGCCTACTAGCGGGTTGTCAAAGGCAGGTAGTACCTGGTAGTGCGAATACTCACCTATATAGGTACATGTGCAGTCTGTATTCGCTCGCTTAAACCTTTTTTCGGTTCTGCTAACAGCCTCAACGTGACTTTCTTTCAATATGGTTTATTACAATTTCAACAGAAAAAAATGCATTTTCGTGAGTAATTGTTAAGTCTCCGTTTTACGAGCGTAAACACGTTGTAACTTAATTGCCACTGAAAATATGTATATACTTATAGGTTTGCATGTATTACATGTACACAGTGGTGGACGACACCTGTATGAGGGGGCATTTTGTTTATTATATAATTAAGAAAATTGCTTTCTGATTATTTTGTAATAAAATAGTTTGCCGTAGCTTCAATTGCTTCGGTATTTTTGTTGAAATTAACTCTACTACTACGTTCGTTCTTAAAAAATCAATTTTTTACCAGTATTTATTGAGGTAGTATAAAATTAATAACTTCAAAAAGACAAATAGACCAAAGATAAATGCCAAATGGTAAACGTAACAGCAATCTTGCAATTTTGTTCGTAAAGTTGCCATTTATATTTTCCCTGCAATAACATAAATAAATAAAAATCAGAGCCAATAAGAGTACAACGTTTATTTACAGCAATATAAAGGCAACATCAACGTTTCGCCGCCTGTTGTGAGCCTTTCTCAAGGTAGGTTTTGTAGATGAAAATGCTTCACAACGGAAGGTAAAACGATGATTTTATAGGGGGTAAATAAGACGGGTATTCTTATCTTGATTAAAGGAAAGAAATGGAAAATATGTACCTATAACTATTTATTTGTATTAATAAAAGAATTGAAAAGCATTCTATTTGTTTACACTTTTAAGTACTAATAAGTAGTTATAAGTAGTGTGTTTTCTGCTGCCGAAGACCAATCGCTTCCGAAAAGGGATTGATACAAAGAATTCTTTAATAGTTTATTTTTATTATTCTGACGATGAGATTGGAGTAATTGACAGCTGTACTCCTTCACCAACTTACAGATTGTATGTTTACATAATGTTGAATACATAATAAATAATTAAATTCTTTATGGTTGTGTTCAGGTTTAAGAATACTTAACAAAAATGAGCTAATATTGCTTAATAAGTATGTACACCTTGGCTTTGAATGCATGGGAGAATTAAGGTGGTAAAAACACTGAAATATTTATTAAATTACTTACAAAAACTTTTAAATTAGTAAAATAGTTAATATTGTTGTTCAAATGTTATGTTTAAATTGTCTTGTCAAACAATCTGCTTTTTAGTAATAGTTTAAATGTCGTTTCACTTTATCCACTACAATTGCATTGCTCAAATGTGCTGCTATTATACCATTTACTACTGAAAATATCAACGAGATGTTTATTTATATTTGACGACATATTAAAGGCTTTAACGCTTGTTTTCGAGTCGCACTTCTATTTATGATTAAACAAAACTTGGCAGGTACTGTATGGAAAGTATGTTTAATGAACAAGAGTCTAGAGTATATTGATCTTTTTTCTCCCTATCTTCGATTTTGCCAGCGCGCATCCAACACATTGGAAGAAGCACATCGCTAGAGAAAGTAAATGAAGTATACTACCTAGTTTATTTCTGTTTTCATTTCTTAATTTTTACTTAAGAAGAAAAGATGCAAACTGGAATATGAGTTAGACACTCTGTCTGAACATTATAGTAATCAATTTTGGAGAATTTCCTTTTTTTGACATGACACTAATCTATTTTTTCTATTTACAAAGGTGTTTTAGTGCATTATTGTGTAACATAACAATCACGAGCCGCCACTGTATGCACCTACGTGTAAGAGTACAGTAATAAATAACAATAGAAGCATAAAATACTTTTTATGTTCGAATTTCTTTTGCTTGAACCGTCAGTAGTGCTTTTTATACTCGTATTTATTATTAATGTTACAATAGTTATACGTACCTACTCCTAATAACTTCTGTAATTTGCATCCATCGTAAACTGCAATTATCGATTCGACGGTGCATCTACAAACTTTTTTACGACTAGGTACTAAACTAAATAACTTTATGAATTTATTATGGAACTCGAAATGGCGTAAAAGATTATTGCAGGCTAAAACCCTCAATTGAATACTCTTTATGTTTTGAGAACGTTCTGAAAACTCTCGAATACTAAAATTTTTACTGACCACGATTCTTCAATGGGTAATACATCTGATTGGACAGATAAACCGCTGCAGTCCATCATAACGATATTTGGAATGGTACAAATCTTATTGATTTAAGATGTTGCCCATAAGAGAAGTATGTTCTGATAATGCAACATTTTAGGTACCTGATTGAGTGTAGAAATATAAGCTACTTAACATTTAAACTAGATGAAGTCCAATGCTTTCGACAGGAACAATTTACATCCGATTTGTCAATTATCCTGTTTCAGAAATACAAGGGGAAAAAAGACGCCATAGAAGTCAGGAAGCGAAAGGGCGATATATTGTAGGATGGTAGTTAGGCTGGTAGAACTGTAAGAACCTTCGGAGACATGAAGGACTAGTTACAGGTAAAGGCACACATTAGTATTAATACTGTTACAGCAGGAGTTCGGGAGAAGGGGGGGTGGTCCAAAAGGTGCCATCGATGCGGGCGACGCAAACCCACGGGGAGTAAGGTAATAAGGTTTTCTTCGTTGTTACGTTATAGTCGCAGTGGAGCAATGTTATTAGATGTTGCATTTTCATGGTATATGTACCAGTTTTTATTAATTTGTACCGTGTTGGTGCGTAAAAATATTAGTCAGAATTTTCTTATAGCCAATACAACAAAAAAGGTAAAATGATCGAACCCTTTTAACGGTTCACTTTATGATAGAGACGAAGGGCATTGTGGTGCGAGCTCACACAGCACAAAAATGTACGTCACAGTCTCACAGGATACCTAAGATTATAAAAGCTGAAATCGTAAAAATCGTAAAAATCGTAGGAAAAGCGAAAATGC